GAGAGTACCACGCCCAAGAACTAATTATGGTCTTCAGATGATTCAGCACACACTTCCAACAGTATTGAATTTTTTCAAACAAAAAGGTGTCTGCATTAAAAATGTTAACAAGAATAAGTTGCATGAAATATTATTCTCCTAGTAACATATTTTTCGGTGTGGTGCATAAATGTTTTTTTTTTGTTTTGTTTGTTTGTTTCAAATGATGTAATTGTATCCCGCTGACCGACCTGCCTGTAGGGGGCAGGGGCTTCGTCAAGCTCCATTTATGCAGCTTTTTATCCTGCCTCCATCGCCCATTTTGTGTTATGGGAGTAAATAGAAGAATTGAATTGGTCAGTGAGTGCCCTGACGGAACTTTTTATCACTTGCGAATGACAAGGTATATGGTGTTCTCAAACACACGGTGAAAGCTTCGAGTCATCGCACCGGTGCGAAAGCATGTCACGACCACGTGATTTCTCAACCCGCTTTTGAGTTGAGGATTAAAGCTAAGGAGGAACGAAAAATAATGTCATGACTCCTTTTAATGGGGGACCAGCAGAAATATTCTTCCGCCTGGCGGAAAGTCCTTCTTAGGGCACTGCACGGGCCCGGGCCAGCCCGAAAGCCCGAGCCCGGCCGGCCCGCGGGCCGGCTCGGGCCGGGTAGCACGTATTTTCTCGGGCCCGGGCCGGGCTCAGGCTTGAACAAAAAAGTTCTCGGGCCGCGCCGGCCCGGGCCGGCCCGAGCCGTGCCTGGGCAATTTTGTGCCGTAAATCATAAATTGTTGTTGATAGCAAGAAGTTCGCTCATTAATCTTTTAGGTTCACTGCATACGAAAAAAGCGAAGTGCAAATTCACTACAGCGTCGTTAAAAATAATAACTAAAATACATCTTGAAGCTAGAAAGCCTTCAAGCTTTTTCCGTGTGAGCGAGGGTTGTGTTATAAGTTGTAAACAAAATAAAGTCCCAGTCATATGCTTGTCAACCTGTCTGATTCATCGCTCTCAAAAATATCTAGTTCACTATTAGGAAGATTTAGAAAAACGTACGCAAGCGCTTTGGGTACCTTGAAAATAGCGTTGCGATGTAAAACCTATGGCGATGCTAAATTTAGCTTGCCCAAAGGGCTTGAGTACGTTATTCTAAGACTCCCTTATTGCACAGAGCGCGACACTATATACACTAGCGCGAACAAGCGATCGTCGTGTTTTTATGCTTATCTCATAGAATCAAAACGCTGTTTTCAAAAATATTAGTGTCTTTAGAAGGGCTCATCTGGGCCACAGACCTAAGCGGTATACTTTGGTGCCTACTAAAACCATTTCGAAGTAAAATTCGAAAAAAGAGCCAACGTCCTGTTCGCGGTATCAGTGTCGCGCAGTGTACATAGTCCGTTCCGCGCTTGCACGTTTTGGGAACCATCTTGAAACAAACGTTTCAAGGTTAAGGTTCAAGGGGTTAACTAGGAATATATTAAACTTAAGCTTGCCTGAAAGGGTTGTATACTTTAAGAACGCGTTGACATGTAAAGCTACTTCAGGACATATTCTTAAACAGAAAAGGTGCACAGACCAGGCTTAGAGCGATGGAGACTTTTTTGCGAAGAGGTTGCGATGTGCAGGGCCTTATAAAAGTAGGTTGAAACGGGACACGTTCAAACGCAAAGGGTGTTTCGGAAACTGGTTCAAATTAGAAGGGCGTTTAGGGAATGGGTCGAAACAGGACAAATTCAAACGAGAAGGGCGTTTAGGGAACTGGTCGAAACGGGACGGGGTCATATGGGAAGGGTGTTTAAAGAATGGGTCGAAACAGGACGGGTTCAGATGGGGAGCTCGTTTCGGGAGCGGGTCGAAACCGGGTTCAAACGGAAATGGGTTGTTTCGGGCTACAGCCATCGGGCCGGGTCGGGCGGGGCCTTGAAATTAACAATTCTGTCGGGCTCGGGCCGGGCCCGGGCCGTGTCTCTTTCGGGCCGGGTCGGGCCGGGCCTAGAAATTTAAAATTCTGTCGGGCTCGGGCCGGGCCCGGGCCGTGTCTCTACCGGGCCGGGTCGGGCCGGGCCTAGAAAATCCGGCCCGTGCAGTGCTCTAGTCCTTTTCGCCCTCTTTCTTTCCCTTTCTCTCTTGTACTGTAGCACGGCGAGGCGAGGTGAAAGGTCCCTTTTTGCGCCGGCTTCTACGTTTTCTTTTCCATCGATCCCAATTTAAGGCAGGTCTGAGTGTGATAAGCCGTTTTTTTTTTTGAAGATGGAATGTTTTCTGAAGATGTAAGTCATCCTTACAAATTCAAGTCACCACATCTCGCGCATGTGTTTAGAGCTCCTTGATCAACCGAGAATATCTATGAAACGTTCCTTCAATGGGTGTGGCGATGCATCGCAGCTCCCAAGTATGCGTTTACTTTGCCCACGGTCTAAACCAAACAACTTCGACAGCTCAAATTCGGTGACTGCGAGGGCGCAGCCTTGCAGCTTTGCAAAGCCTACACCCGAAAAACTAGGCTGGGCTAGCGCCAAAAAAAAAAAAAAAAAGAATATTCGGGCAGATTACGCGATAGAAGCTGAAGATACCTGTAGGTCATGAGGTCCCTGCGGCCACACCCATCACCCGTCGCTCAGAATGGGGATTATCTCGGCTTATCCTCTCCGAAGAAGCCGGCGCAAAAGGGGACCTTCTTCAGCCTATTGCGCCGCCATCTGCCCCATTCCAGCAAATCGGTATGGATTTACTCTGACCTTTCCCACCGTCGACGAAAGGAAACCGATGGATCATCGTCGCGACCGATTATCTCACGCGGTACGCCGAGACAAAATTGTATTTTTATTTATTTATTTATTCTCTGCAGCGCCGGAGCATTACAGCAGAGGAGTGGGTTACATGATTCACATATATCATTATAAATTGGAAAAACAGCACACATCAGCAATTTCTAACAACATCAATAAACATGATTCACACCAGCACACAATAGCAATATTACGAAAAAACCAATGATATACTTAACACAGAAACTTACATTGCAATAATAAGGCTAATAAAAGAGTCACTGTTAGCTGATACAATATCAGACGGCAGTTCATTCCATTCTGATATAGTTCTCGGAAAAAAAGAAAACATCATATAGTTAGTTCGACATTTTATTTCGCGTATTTTTTTTACGTGGTCCCTCCTACTCGATATATAGTGGGGCATTTCTAGATAATTAGACTTGTCTATTCCAGGTAAATCATTGTTGATAGCGTAAATAAGTCTATTTTTCTTACGTCTTTTTTCTAAAGGCTCGATACCCATACAAACTTTCATTTGTGTCACACTCTCTGCTCGAGAATACTTATTCAGAATAAACCTCACAGCGCGATTTTGAATGGCTTCTATTTTATTTATGAGATATTTTTGGTGCGGGTCCCATACGGCACTCGCATATTCTAGATGTGGTCTAACTAGTGAGCGATACGCTGTCTCTTTCAAGATTTGTGGAGCAGAGCGAAGATTGCGGATGACTAAGCTAAGAACCCTGCCAGCCTTTTCCATGATCATATCTATGTGTTGATTGAACGAAAAGTTTTCTGAAAGAATGACACCAAGATATTTAATTTCAGACACTTTCCGCAACGAGTCTCGACCAATAGCATAAGCCGAATCAATACTATGTTTCTTTTTACTAGAAGCGACATGAAAACATTTGCTTGTGTTTAACCCCAGTTCCCAGGTCCCGCGCCATAAACTAACCCGGTTCAAATCCTCTTGCAAAGAAGAGACATCGTTAACGTTCCTTATTGTTCTGTAAATTACACAATCGTCCGCGAATAATCTGATATTAGAAGAGATGGAAGACGCTAAATCATTAATGTAGATTAAAAATAAAAGTGGTCCCAGCACTGACCCTTGAGGTACCCCCGAAGTTACATCTACGTATTCTGATCTTCTACCCCCCAGGACGACGCACTGTTTCCTCCCACTCAGGTAGTCTTTAATCGACCGGAGCACATTACGGTCGATATTTAAAGCACTCATTTGGTGTAATAACAATTGATGCGAAACAGAATCGAACGCTTTGCGGAAATCCACAAAAATGGCATCCGTTTGCAGTCTGTTTTCAGCCGCACTAACTAAACCATGATAGAGCTCAATTAATTGGGTACTGCAGGAGACACCTCTACGAAAACCGTGTTGGTTAGGGCAAAACAAGTTATTATCTTCTAGGTGCTTAATTATACTACTATAGACAATATGTTCAAATATCTTACATGATATACAGCTCAAGGAAATCGGCCTGTAATTGTCAATTGATTTTGGACCATTTTTATGAATTGGTACAACATACGTTTGTTTCCATTCTTTAGGGAGCAATCCGCTTTCAAGAGATTTACAAAAAATTACATAAAAGTATTGTGAAACTATACACGAGCAGGCTCTTAATACCTTGGGGGACATCTCGTCTGGACCGACGGCCTTGTCTTCTTTTAAAGAGTTTAAGCAATTTCTTATTCCCTCTAGCGTGATTATGGCGGGAGGCATAGCATTTTCCACTCTATCTGTAAGAATCGGCAAATGTTCGTAGTCACCGTTTTTGAGAAATATTGACTGAAAATAATCATTGAAACAATTAGCTTTAGTTGTATTATCTGTTATGACTCTACCAGTATTTGTAATACTCGGAATGCCTGTTCTTTCTTTTCGTGTTTTTCTAAGGTAACTCCAAAAGGCTTTCGAATTTATGTTTATAGCCTTTGCCAATCCAGAGAAATAATCCTCCTTGGCCGTACTTATGGTGCTCCTATAAACTATATCCAGCTCTTTTAGACGGTACTCAAGATTGGCATACGTGAGCGTTTTCTAACTACTTTTTTTACTTTATAATTCATCCAAGGTTTGTCGGGTTTTGGTTTGTCCTTTACGCACTTCCGCCATGTTGGGGGGTTGCGGATAGCTTGCTCCACGGCTCCACCAGCTGCACTCCAAGCTTCCGTGCGAACGACGCGTTTTGCTCGGGCTTCTTCTATTCCTCCTCAATTATGCCCCGCTACTGCTGTGTGCCGCGATGCACGCAGAGTGGCTACAAAGATGTCAATGGGAATAAGGTGAGTTTCATTCATCTGTTTTTTCTTTCCGCAGTCGACTGTGGTAGCCCGGCCGAATGCGCGTGTAGATTTCCGTTCGATCAGAATCTGCTCTCTCAAACCGGACGTATTTTTATATGGCGGACAGCGAAGTAAAAATAGCGTAACAGATATACTCAGTGTTATTTGAAGCGTGTGGCATCTTTCGTTCGCCTCGCTCCCCCCCACCACCACCACCACGACCACAAGCGGAATGGATTTCCCGATTATGAGCGTCCCTGGCACACTCGCATCAGCTCATTGAACGACGTTTCTTCGACACGCGATGTTTCATTGACAGACCGTTTCATCGGCAGTTCGTTACACCGACAGGTTGAATTAGCTTTTTCTGTATTGAGCCGCCTCAGACTGTTGCCCCGAAGCGGCGTGAACGGGATGCACACGCGATGAAACGTTTCTGCAGCGTGTGGTCAGCGTAGTGAATATCGACGAAACGCGTCGATGAAAAGTTGTCGAGGAAACGTACGCCGATGAAACGCGTGTTGGCGAGATGATGCAGACCCGCAATATATACACATGGGTGTGCACAGAAATCAGTGGTGCACGATTCAGCAGCTGGAACACATGGGTAGCTCGCCCAGTCGCGTTGAAACGTGAGCTTCCTTTTGGCGCGCACTCGGAGGTTTATCAAAAAGGTAAAAACCCGATGTGCTAAAAGTCCCCCTTATTGTGTTTCCTTAGCCTGTTACTTACATTAGGTGCGAGCAAATGTAAAAAAAAAAGAAAATGGATTGAGCAAATGTGTTAGTAGGCTAATCTGAATTTGAGCAACAAGCATTGTTTGACTTTTATGTTTTATTTTGGCTCTTCTAGGTATCATTTCACTGCATTCCAGAGAAGGAAGATCTGCGCAAGCTGTGGCTGATTGCGATCAAACGCGACCACTCCTTTTAACGTGAGAACGGCAAGGGTATGTTCCAAACATTTTGGACCCGATGACTTCTTGCAGAACATCGCTAGTGGGAGGAGGATACTCCGTGACAATGCCGTTCCTTCAGTGTTCGCATTCAAGAGACCCATGAGACGACGAAAGCCACCAAAGACCCGACCCTCTGCAGTGGTTCCACCTTGTTCACAAACACCGGCTGCTGTCTTTCAACAGCAGGCAGCATCTAGTGCAGCCCAGCAAAACCCCGTGGAGGGTCCGTCAAACGGCGCTAGTGCCCAAAACCTGGGTGAAGGTGAGGGCAGGCAGTGAAGAGGAACATGCACTTGACCGGCACGACTCTGACCAAGACATCATCAGGCTGCAGACCCCGGCTCCCCGCACAGCTCAAGAAACAGAAATTGATGAACTGCAGCAAGAGCTCAAAAAAGCGAAGGCGAGGATCTTGTACCTTGAAAGAGAAGTTGCACTGTTAAAGGAAAAGTGCAGCAAGAACGAGAGTTCCACAAACAGGTTTTGTGTAGAAAAATTCAAAGACTCCGATGAAGATTTCCTCTTCTACACAGGCTTGCCGTGTTACGGCCTTTTTCATATCCTCCTGAGCTACCTGGGACCAGCCTCCTGCGACATGAATGTCGAAGAGGAAGGAGAGAGCGAACAGGGAGCCACTCGGGGCCGTCCTTCCTCACTTAGCACCGAGAACCAGCTGTTTCTGGTGCTGGTGCGCCTTCGACTGGGACTGTTTCAGCAGGACCTAGCGCACCGTTTCAATGTGCACCAGAGCACTGTGAGCAGGCTGTTCACAGCCTGGATCAACTTCATGTTCCTCCGTCTCTCTGAACTATCAATTTGGTCGTCCAGATCGGTCATCGACAGGACCATGCCCGAAGGCTTCAAGCAGAAGTACCCGAAGACACGGGTGGTCATAGATTCCACGGAACTGAAGTGCGAGGTACCCAGTTCATTCGTGCTGCAGTCCGAAACATTTTCTCCGTATAAGTCGGCCAATACGTTCAAAGGCCTGGTTGGCATCGCACCGGATGGCGCTGTAACATTTGTGTCACCATTAGCCACAGGTTGCATTTCCGACAAAGAACTTGTTAGGAAAAGTGGTTTCCTCTTGTTGCCGTTCGAGGATGGTGATGTAGTAATGGCGGACAAGGGCTTCACCATCGCAGACTTGCTGGAGCCGCTGAATGTTCACCTGAACATTCCGCCATTTCTAAGGAACGGACAGTTCAGCGAGGCCGAGATTTTAGAGACAGAGGCTATTGCATCACTGCGTATTCATGTGGAGAGGAGGATCCAGAGGATTAAGAGCTTCCATATATTTGACAGACGCATTCCACTTACGATCGCACCAGTCATTAACCAGTTGTGGACTGTGTGTGTGCTTCTAACAAACTTCCAAACGCCTTTGATCAAAGAGCACTAACTTTTCAGTTATTTTAAAACCTGAAACCGAGCAAAAGTACAGGCGATCTGGCTTAAAGGACGACGTACATTTGGCGCTTTCCACTTTTTCGGACATTCTCCTTTCCCAGATCTCCACCTTGCATCTTTCCGCAAAACGGCTCCCTCGCAGTTTAGGAGAGGAGATCGCTAAGAGGATTATCTTCCCTGCAGAAGACCGAGGTTCTACGTCTGTCTTTAAAGGCCGAAGTACAGTTCGCGCTTTCCACTTTTTCGGGCTTCCTTTTCTCGCATGTCCTCTCCACCTTTCACCTTTCCGAAGCACGGCTCCCCTTGCAGTTTAGGAGAGGGGGTCGCTAAGAGGATTATCTTCCCTGCAGAAGACAGACATCGGTCTTTAAGAGCGACTTACTTGCCTTTTGTTTTGAGGTGACAGTGGTACGTCCATATTCTAAAGATGCATGTGTCTTGCTTTTCTTTTTCTTGGTCTCAGGTTTTAAAATGTTATCATGATATTTTGGTGCTTATCCAATTCCAGAACCACACAAAGATAATTTTAAATAACAGAAATATTTTAGAGTATTTAATACAGAATAAAACCGATATGTGGTTGTAAACTTTCTCACTCAGCACAGGCGTACTGGTCCTAGTCTGACCCAAGTATATGCAAATGGAATGCCAGTGGTCTAGAAGCTTTATGTCGCTGTGAAATTTCAAAAATGAATGTAGTCTATTTCTGTCAATCTTTCCTTTGCGAAACTCGGTGTCACAGTTGATACCCATGTGATAACAGTCGAGTAAGGCTCTTGAATTGGACACAAGCACTGTGTGAGCACTCTACTTCGGTTCGTATCAATGCATCGGCCAACACTTGTGTAGTGGCTGATGTCTAGGGTTCTGCGTTTTCGGAGTTTATTTTTGCCCAAAATCGGAGGACGTTTCTCGGAGTAAACACAAATTCTGAGTTTTTCGGAGCTATCTTTTATGTGACACGAAATTCGGAGTCTTTCTGGCTTTTGGTGAAGTGAACGAAAGGTAGAAAAGAACAGTTTGCTAAGTTAATAAATCAGGCTTTTTACTGGGCGAGACGTGTTTAATTGATGTTGTGGACAGGCTACCTCGTTCTTCTGATGATGGCGAAAAGACAATCTTTTGTGACACTTGGGGACAAAAGTTGAAACATAAGCTAAGTAATAAGTAATAAACTGTCTGCTGTAGTAGCTCCAGTTCAAGTGCCATACACTAACAGAAGATGCATTGTATCACATTTGCAGCACCTCTAGACACCTTTTGCAATGCACAGCTGACAAATCACCAAACATAATGTACGGAAGCCAGCATCCCTGTCGAGTCCGACTACTGAACCGCCGGTGGCTGCTATCACTCTGCTATAGCTGAAGAGTTTTTTTCCACTTGTTACTTTCCCTTTTAGTCATAAATGTTCTGCGGATTCCTGTGTAGCCCTCTGCAAGTTCACAGCTTTTCTAATCAATGCTCCGATCCCACCACCTTTATTGCAATAAATGACAATGATTTTGTATTATTGTTACTATACTGTACATGTGATTTCTGCTTTGATGACTATAAGTAACACACACAACAAGAATATTCTAGCAGGTTCAAAAAGGCGGTACTGTTTACTGCATCAAACAAGAGACAGTAATGGGGGTTTCACAGTGCAAACTAAGATAAACACAAAAGACAAGCAAGTCTGTACTTCAACCAGCAGTTTGAAAAGCTTTTTCATACCATCACAGTTATGATGAATGTCAGAGGTGTTTAACATGAACACTGCATAGTGGAATTGCAAATTGCATGGCTCCATGTTAATGCTAAATTTTTCTTTCAAGGTTTGGAAGTGGGAAATTAGCCTACCTTAAAAAGTGGCTAATGTGTTTGTTGTACATGAGCAATTTAACCAGTCCAGTACAACTGCTAGCTGCAATCTTTGAAGAATATCATGTAGATAGTGATTAAACAAACAATTGGTATAATGCACACTTATATCAAAACAAGCAGGGGTGTGGAGGAAACCATGATCTAAATGTATGCTCAAGACCTAGATGCATGCTGAGATGTACAACTTGAAGAAATGAAGAGCTTTCAAAAAAAATCAAGAGTTGTACACAGATCTACATCCAACTATTATTTCTAAAAGGTGCAATCGAAGGTTGTGTGAAAACACTGAAGCTAAAACAAGCAAGCGAATGGCAGTTGCACCTCCAAGCTAGTGGTGCCACAAGACAGTTTGTCATTGAAACAGGTCCTCAAACACTGCTCAGTAAAAAAAAAAAAAAAAAACCCTGGCAATAACATTAGACTTGCTGCAACTAGAACTACAAAAGATACTTCACACTGAGAGGCTGGTAAGATAAGGCACAGCGCGCTGAAAGTAAAACAAATCAAGTTCCTTCTTCATCTCTTCCCACCGTGACTCGCAGAAATCCACACGTGCTACAATAATCCAGCCTGCTGCATAGACAACAAAATGTGTCCATTTGAGTCCAGCGCAGTACATTTGACCCATGACCTGGCAGTAAAAGCCGCTTGTGAATTTCAAGTGTGGCTTCTTGTCAACCACCTCAATGAAAAAGTCAGGATCCTCAACCACCTATCCTAACGGTGTCAAACTTTCGCCATATGGGCACTTCACTTCTATGAGACCAAAAGGAGGGTCTTCACTGGCGTCGTAAACAACACGATCAGGCGAAGCACCCAGCCAGGGTGAATTAGGACGCACCATGATTCCGCAGTTGTAAATGACAACGTCATGTCCCAGCTTTTTCACCACCTCCACATATCGGCGAACAGCATCACCTTCTTTGCTGGTTCCATACCTAACCGAAGCGGAGGTGAATGGCTTAGGCCTAAAGATGTTCCGCAGGCCAGCATACGTCCAAGGATGCACCCGTTTTAGGACGAGGAAGAACTTGGATGCGGTCAACCTGTTCAGCCGTGCCTCCCTCCAAAGGGGACTGTTTGCTTGCTGCCGCGTGTCCCTTTCCAAGTTCCTGGCACCCTCAGCTGTCAGCATGAGATCCTGGGAGTAACAATAATAACCACATCAGTGGACCAGTCGCACCAGCTGGAAACACACAAATGGTGCATCGCTAACATGAAAGAAAGAACTTCAAAGGAAAAGCAAACTGATTTGATGTAAAATCCCCCAGGCTTTTTAGAGTTTGTTTTCCTCTCCCACTTGGTAAAAGTTAACATCATTATTCCCCTTGCCCACTGTGGCAGGCACTTGGCACACAAGCTGTGGGACACACTTTTCTGCCCTGCGGACAACCTTTCCTTCTCGGTAAGGTGTGCATGCTGGGTGGAAGGTCATGCCTTCCTGCCTTCTGAAACTTTCAGCAAGTGCTCACCGGTTTTGCAGCCTGCTCAATCAAATAGAGGTGACCTACACTCTTAGAGGCACTAAAGGAGTTAAATGATTTAAGTTTTCTGAAGTATGTTTCACTCCTCACAGCTTTGACTATCTTATTAAAAACCACGGAGGCGGTGAACAGTGCAATATTTGTATCTTTTTAAGTTAATACTGGTGCAACCAACACAGAATTCAAGCTTCTCATATTGTAGTTGTTACACATTGAGACTAAGAGCGAGTTAGTTTCACTGCACTGGCATCCACGCATGCACACTCGCAGCGAGTTCATTTCAGCTGGCACTCCACGAGTGGCTGCACTTGCTTGCACCGAGAAGTCGGGAATGCACCAGATTGCAGTCCTGTCTTGCATTGATTAGCTTGCTTGTTTCGTCTCATAGCAATGGAGGAAACCGAAACTGATCAGCATGACGTATTGGGATAAATATGTTGAGCAAACAAGCCCTGGCCAGAGCACTACCTATGTCTACATCCTGTGACAGCAAATACGAAGTGCGTCGCTAGCGGGAATGCTCGATTTTCGATTCCAGGTGTACAGCCACAAACCAGACACATTTATGATTGCAGATCGACATTTGTACATGTTTCATAAGGCTTATGGCGTAAATGGATAAAAAATTAGTATCCCCACATTTTAAGCACTGACAATGGTTACTTCTTGCAGCTCTTCCGTAGCCAGACCGAGACAGAAAATTACACAGTCAGTGCAAATCTCAATGACAGCGAAGTTGTTTACAACATATTTCATCACAAATGGAAACAATTCGCACTGCACTGCCATATTCCTGCCTGTCCTGTCGCCCTGGGGTGTGGTGGGACTAGACTGGATACATGTTAATTACCTTAAACACTATACAGCACAGTAGACTTGGCAAGCTTGTTTGGAACCGGTTTCCTGTGCGGCACCATGTGAGTGTGATGCAATCTGCAACAAAACTAGCACGGTGCCAGTGTGTGTCAAATAATTTTAACGTGACAGCGTTAACGAGCTCGTGTTGCAGAAAAGCCGGCGTCGGTGGCGTGACACGAAAATCCCATAAGGCAGTGCGCGACGTCACACGGGAGAGCGAGAGAAAGGGGGCGGCACAGCGCCACAGCTTTACGCCAGTCCTCTGCCGCTCGCCAAGGTCTTCAGCGTCGGCTCTTGCAACCGGTTCTATACGGACAATTCCCAGAATACATTTTGGCGCAGGTGGAGGGCTTGCACGGCTTGGGAACGAGGAGTGTTGTGTCATGAGAACTAGGTCGTTGTTTGACTGAAGAGCATGCGAAGGGAGAGGGCGATGCGAACGGGGCCCGATAACGCAGTCGCATTTCACTCTTAAAGGCGAAGCTTAAGCGTCCTCCAAGTTTTTTGCTATCAATTTCAAGACCATGTACTTTGGCCTCCCTTCAACCAACTTACTTAACGGTACAGTGCTTTTGCTAAGGGGGACCACATAAGTTTTCATAATAAAGTTGCAGTCATTGGGAATGTTTTATGGTTTTAGGAACATAACATAATAAACAAATTAGGTTATCTATGTCACTCCTTTATAAATATTGCAAAATTATGTGGTTTGAGGAGTCATGGGGGCTCCACGTAGTTAAAGATTTTCAGCCATTAGCATTTTATCGGCTTATCACCTGCA